CGAATTTAATTCTGGCATTATATTTACCCGGGGGCGCTCGGGGGTTTTAGGGGATGCCAAATTCAATTCTAGCATTAGATTTCCCCGAGGAAAGGCAGCGTCCATGAAAATCACTCCAAAATCGTTACTCGGGGGTTTTCGGGGATGCCGAATTCAATTCTGGCACAGTCGGTTTCACAAGAACAAGAAATTTTGCTTAAAATTTCCTCGGGACCCGCTTCCTGGGTCATGGTGACAGGACTGAATTCTACATCCACCAATTCACACCCCCCTTTCAAACGTATCTAAGGTCTCGTCGTGAACCATACCAAGCCTGTACTTGGAAATAGACACGCTTGATATGCTTGGTTAACGCATTGGCAGTCGGGATTATGGGAGCAAGATCGACTTTTTTAGAAATGGTGGCTTCAGCATACATTTTTGCTAGATAGCTTTGGACAATCTCAATCGCAGGTTTATCGCTCGTGCGCACATCTTTGGGTGCCCCCTAAAGTGCCAAAGCTAGACGAAGCAAATGATCTATTAAATTATCCATGAATACATGTGTTTGCTTAAATATTTCCGCAAACCCATGTAAATCATCGGATTTCTCAAACAAATCGCAGAATTTTACTTTCCCTCGATACAAAAACGCTGAGGTTGTGTCGCATCCCGTGAAATCATGTAGAAATTATATATGAAACCTGATGCATGCGCTTCTGGATGCTAAGCTCTCGGAAGAATACTCAACATCAGGTACTCTAGCGAAAGGGGCTTCAGCAAGAACACTTCTAGATTCGGTGGAGTCTGAGCAGCAAGCATTGTTAAGACGTCAGTGTCTTTCGAAACAATAACCACTTTATTGTTGCGGCTTCCAGAAGCAGTCTCAATGGCAGCTACACTCTGCTGGGACATTTTGTTAGCCCGTTTCAATTCCTTCTGGAGAAATTTAATGAGCTGGGACTTATTTTTGCTATTCCCTAGAAACTTGTCCTGAGTTACACTTGCGGGCAACATCATAACCGTCCAGGAATCTGGAGCCATGCGTACGGTGGCGGAATTTTTATGCCTACATCCCCGTGATAACGATACTTTTCTCTCTTTATAGCTTTGGCGCCTTTTTAAAATCCAGTTTCGAGGCAAAAAAAAATCCTAAAGCAATTGTTTTTATAATATGTGTAATATTTATTTATTTAATATTCAATCAAAATTTTTATTATTCATAACCCCGGGTAATTCTAATGCCTGAATTGAATTCGGCATCCCCGAAAACACCCCGAGTAACGATTTTTCCGAGTTTCCAGTCGTTTCTATAATGGTGCAAGTAAAGATGCAATTGGAAAATGCATTTTCCGACCCAGAAGGCATTTTTCAAAAAATGGCTAAACAAGACGATATAGGCTTTTTTTCTGGGACCTTCCTGAACACAATGCAGAAAACCGCATCTCTATAGCTGCTGTCCCTAAAAATTTCCGTTATTTTTCCTAACTTCCTTGGACTATTAATCAGCAGGTACTTTAAATGACCGAGTTGGATTATTTTAATATTCTACTAGCAGATTTATATTATTATATTGTGTAAATATTTTCGTTCATATATAAACCAAAATTATAGTGTTAATTACTTTATTTTTAGAACAAATGCATTCTAAGGATTGGATTTACTTTATTATTCGACGTCTAAAATATGGTATACCATGTTTTTTTTTTTTAATATTTTCGTACTATTTTGTAAAATAGAATAGTAAACGTACATATCTAAATATATTTAATTTTTAAAAGTTTATAAGAGAAAATAAATTATTTCAATTCGATATATTAAATGACCATTCTTTCAAAACTAAATTATTAGTTTTATTAACTACTTACTAATTTTACTGATCCCAAAGTCATTAAATTAAAAATAATGTGTATGTTTACAATTAGACTAAAAATCAGAGATAAGATCTGTATCCTGTTCTACGAGTTTTTTTTTATTAATAATAAAATTAAAACAAGTTAATGATTATTATAAAGAAATTTCAGTTCTTAAATAATATCATAAAAACAATTTCGCATATTTAAATTATGTAAAATTAGTTTCCTAATTAACATTCTTTCACAATTTTCTGAGAATACGTTTCCATGTTAGTAATCTTAAATATCTTAAAGCAGAATGTTGATGTACATATATTATTATAATTGATAAAAAAGAGTCAGAGTTATTATCTTCAAAATATAAAGAAGACTTAATGGAACTAATAATGTAATCTGCACAATGGATAATGATTCTAGTAATATACAGGGTGTTTCTAAATTCATGTGACAAAATTTAGGAGGTGATTGTTCGTATGAAATTAAGATGGGTCTTTCCTATAACAAAATTTCCTCATCCCATCCTTTTCCGAGATATCACCCTTAAAAGGTGGTGACTAAATTGAGTTTTTATTTTTTTTTTTTTTTAATTTCAGTAAAGCTAGAAACTTGAAATTTTGTAATTTTCGTGAACTCGCAAGGGACTAACCACAGGTATTTTTTCAATATTACTGTTACATTATAGGGGGGTGAAATTAACAACCCTTACTTTATTTCATAAAACTTCATCTCGAAAAAAGTTTTAAGGGTGATATCTCGGAAAGGGGTGGGCTGAGGAAATTTTGTTATAGGAAAGACCCACCTTAATTTCATACTAGCAATCGCCTCCTGAATTTTGTCACATGAATTTAGAAACACCCTGAATGTTATTGAAATTGTTTTCTTGATATTTTTAACCATATTTAACCAAATAAAATTATCAGGAGGTGTACTTTAGATTACACAAGAGAGACTTTTTGTTAAATTACAATGCACAAAATTTGAGAGTAATAAAACTGACATAAACTAAAAAAATAATTTAGGAAATAATTGCAACAAGGTCATACGTGTTTATATAATGATTAAATAATGATAAAAAAAATAAATATCAAACATTATGTTGATCGAAATTCATATCGTTCAAACCATAAATAAGCCGGAAATCATAATGTTTGCATGTATAAACCAATTAACTTTCATGTATAATTGTTATTGTAACAAAAAACAAATAGATAAAGATGCATTTTCTGACAAACAATACTTTTTTTTATAAAACAGCGCATACTAATAATTTTTGAATAATTCATATTTTCCCCAATTCATAATAAATATTGATACCCAGGCCCGCGCCATACATAAGGGCAAAGTCGTGTGGTGCACGACGGCACCGAGGCGCCAAAGGCGCCGAAAAGGCTCAAAACTAAAAAGTAAAAAAAAAAAAAGATAAAGCAACAAAAAACATTGTCAAAACAAAATTTATAATGATAAAAAAAAAAACAGTAAGAAACATTGTTTTTTATTTGCTTATTATTTTATTTTTACTCTTAGAGACGAGGGAACCGAATTTCTCGAAAATAATATATTTTCCAAATGAGAGTACGCAATAATAGCATTTATTCTATCGAATACGTAACATGAATTGTGTAAACTCAAACAAATCTGATTTTATTCATGTTTGAGCTTGACAAGCGTTTTTTTTTTCTGTCTGAACTTGCAATGTACGAAACTTTATATATTAAGCGCTGCCTCGGTCGCGATTTCATTTGTTGCCAGACGCCCGATTGATAATTAACTTAGCGAAGTAAAAAGGTACATGGGGTAAAAGATTCCTATTTTTAAAACTGTAGTTTTTTGTAGTTTTACAGACCTGTATTTTGTGTTGTGAATTGTGAATTAAGGCGAGTTCATCTAAAATTTATTTTTATTTTAGATTTATTAAAACAGTAAAAGCCAAAAACTTGCCTCTTGAAAATCATTTTATATTTGATTATATAAACATCATTGTTAATTGAAGTAAATTTAAACAAAATAATTGATAAGCACTAATATTACCTACTATTTATAAAAATTTATAAATTTTGAAATAAGTAATGTTGAGAAAATATCTACTTTCGAGTTTGAGTTTAAGACGTCGAAACATTTCCATTTTTCATAAATAATATGTCAATTTGTTTACTTGTATTAATATCTTTACAGTATACAGGATGTAACCATTTCCGATCGATTTTTCAGAGTTTCCAGTCGTTCCTTTAATGGTGCAAGTAATGATGCAATTGGAAAATGCATTTTCCGGCCAGAAGGCATTTTTCAAAAAATGGCTAAACCAGACGATATAGACTTTTTTTCTGTGACCTTCCTGAACACAATGCAGAAAACCGCATCTCGATATCTGTTGTCACTAAAAATTTCCGCTATTTCTCCTAAGTTCCCTGGACTATAATGGTAACTTTTTAAAATGCATAGAAATGTTTTACAAATTCGACCCGACTATGTCAGAACATACAAAACGCTCTCAAATAAAAGATCACAAAAACTATCTCGGAAATAAAATAATCAGGGCCGCCGAGAGCCAGGTCGGGCCCCAGGACAATTCTCCAGATCGGGCCCCGTGACAATTTTATAAAAATTCTCCTTAAATTTCTCTAAAAAAAAAGGTATTCAAACAAAAACTTCTCCTCCTCTACTTGATACGCCACACATCAAATCCTAAACCGAACCATGCAATTTAATTAAAAATCCACATGGTCTGGTCAGGGATTCGAAACCCAGCAGTCTCAGACTCATAAACTTGCCTATAAATGAATATAAGCGCCATAGACCGCTACACCACCGTGCCCGATATGAAAGATCCTATCTTTTTTTCGATGAGAAATCACCCCCTTAAATGTTTTACACTTATTTAGTTACACCCTGTATAAGTTTATAATTATGTTATGTACCTCAATGAGAAAATACTTGTATGGCTTGTACTTGTAAAATATAAAAATGAAAATAAGTTTATGAAAATACTATTTAAAATTATTTTTCAATAGTGAATAATAATAATACCTAACTTAACCCGTATCTGTACTCTCATATTAACGTAATACAAATTTGGGGCGTTATTTTAAATTCACAAAAAGGCGCCAACAGTGCTAGGCGCGGGCCTGTTGATATCTACTATCAATCGATCTAATCAGTTATACATACCTTAACAACACCATCAGTATCAGTCCTAAAATTGAAATCCCCAAACACAAAAAACGGGGCTTTATCATATTGGTCATTGTGGAACCTCTGCAGAGTGTGCTGCAAGGCCCTTCTTCTATTGTTACAGTACACAGATGGATATGATTCCATAGCTATGAAATTGGAAGCGTCATGGAATAAATGTATATTCACCATATCGACTATGGATCCGTTTAGAGACCATCTAGTGCGCATAAAACCTTTTCGAGACCATTTGCACTGAAAAAAGAACGAAACCGATGTAAATAGAACGCTGTTTAATATGCCTGGTAATTTATTTTTAAACAACATATTGGAAAACCCAATTGTATTATTAATTAAGTCATTGACTTTCTTGGTCCAAACTTTTCGTTTTTTCTTTTAATTGAATTTCATAGTGGTCGTGAAAAGGTGAAAAAGGTTGGTAAATTAACATGTGTTGTTAATATAAACTTCATGAGTATGCTACCTACTCGTATGTCGTAATAGACACAATATTTTAATATTTTTATAATCTAGTTCTAATGATAAAAAATTGGAAACAAATAGTATTGTTTTAAGATTAATCTTCAATCACTTTTTAAATATTTGACAAATTAAAACGACTTCAATTAATGTGTAAGCTGTATTTCAGTTTTGGCTAATTATTCATCATTTTATTCTTAAGCAAGGAGAACAAGTTGCATTTTTAACTACTTTCTAAACCAGGAATTCCCCTCGGGGTCGAAATCGGGTTCTCAGGGGTCGACATAAACGAAAATTGATTTTGGGGGTCGACAAGGTCTAAATATTGACCCCAAAAAACTATTTAAAAAATTTTTTTTATATTTGTTTAATAATTTTATATGAAGAGATAGAGCATTATAGAACTTTGTCCCTAGATAATTTACACTGTTTTTAAAAAACTCACTATTTGGTTTTGGTACTTTAATGCACATGTTCGATGCAGTTCTAGTGTTATGTCTATGTTCTAAAGGGTTTTTTAAAAATTCATTTTTTGTATATAACAACACACTGCGTGAATATTATCGCGCGAAAGCCTACCCTGTCCGTTGTTTACTCCCGCGATATGGAGTCTAGCGGCGAGCTGACAATGTAGAGACAATCAGACGCTTCTCGAATATACCAGAACAAGCGGTAGGTACGTGACGTTGAGTCATAGACAGTATAGGACATTCCACACCGTCTCGAATATTCTGGTTACAGAGTTGGCTTGATATAAATATCGCGAGTGTGAAGACGGAAGTCAGTTGTACGTAGATAGTTTAGTATAGAACATTGTAATGAAAAGTTAAAGTGTAAGAAATAAATTAGAATTGTTAGTTAGTGTCTAAGTATTATATAAATTAAATAGTACGTCTGAAATAAATTGTAAATAGTGTTTTAAATAAATAAACTATAAATAAAGTAGACTATCGTTAAATTGGTGTTAGAAGTGGAAATATAAATAAATAGTGAACAATAATGGCTAAAAGACTGTATGATTTAAAAGTAACCGAGCTACGTCGGGAGTTAGAAGATCGCGAGTTGGAGATGACAGGGAAGAAAGCAGAACTGGCAGACGACTTAAAGAAGCAATAGAAAATGAGGGTTTGGATCCGGAAACGTGTCTATTTTCGGATGATACATCTTCGGCTATAATTTCTTCAATTTCTTCATTAGAAAATAAAGTTTCTTCAGATGTATCCTCTAACAAAAATGATATCTCCTCATTAGAAACTAAAGTTTCTTCTGACTTTACTTCCTTAGAAAGTAAAGTTTTGTCTGATATTTCTTCCTTAGAAGAAAAGGTGTCTTCTGATATGTCTTCCGTGAAAAACGAAATCTCTTCTTTAGAAACTAAAGTTTCTTCTGATATATCTTCTTTGAAAAGCGGAATTTCTTCTATGGAAGATAAGATTTCTTCCCTTGAGAATAAAATAATGTCTTCCGTTGAGGAGAAAATAAAAGAGATGGAAAAGAAGATAGAAGAACTGTAAGATTCTGTACAGGAAGGAACGGTGTTACCTGAAAGTAGTAAAACCATACGAGTAAGGCGGTTGCAAGGAACTGTAAAAAAGGCACTGCCTGTCATGGCGGAACCTTCGAAGCGCAATGAAGGTGTTGGTCAAGGAACTCTAATTGGAAAGGGGTTGGCCACATCTGTTAAAGAAGTTACAGTACGAAGAACGTCGGTTGTCAGCGATGAGTGGGCCCCTGTCAAACTTAGGGAAGAACAAGAGAACGATCCCGTTTTAAAGAAAATACGAAAATGGAAAGAGGAAAATCGTCGACCTACTTAGCAAGAAGTATCTAATCTCTCTCCAGTACTTAAGTCGTATTTGGCTCAGTGGGACTCCTTTATCCTGGAAGATGGCTTATTAAAGCGAGTACTTGAAAATGATAATGATTCCGAGAACAGCAGACAGTTGGTCGTTCCAAGGAGTAGAGTGTAGTGTACTGCCTCTGTTTTTATTACGTTACCATGTGATTTTTAGTTTTAGACAGATATAAATAAATATAACTTGTCAACAAAAAATATATTTGTCACAGAAAAAGCAAAACCTTTTATTCGCATTCATACTCCGATATAACATACCAGGTTAACTACATGACTCCGACAAATTGGTGACCCCGAACGTTTTCCCATTTTTACAAAATTCTGTAAGAATTTAAAGAATTTTGCTAGCCGATCAATACGAGTTCCTGTAAATGACCCCATCTTCTATCCATGGTTCAACACATACTGTCCTGACTTCAAGATATATCCTGTACCAATTCTAACAAGATAAATAATTTAAGTATTTTAGTAGCAGTAGATAAGTACCTAATATTAGATATTCAATTCAATATCGTTAAAACCATTTTTATTTAAATTTAACTAATTTATATAATGTCACAAACTGAAGATATTTCAGGGAACGGTGATTCTGTCAATGTTGAACGCACACTTTCCTCTTTAAAATTACCACCCTTTTGGACCCCAAATCCAGAAATTTGGTTTACACAAGTTGAATCACAATTTGCTTTATCAAGGATAACTTCAGACAAAACTAAATACAATTACATTATTTCTAATTTACCTTTTAATATTATTTCAACCATTTACGATGTCATAACTAATCCACCGCAAGAAAATCTCTATAAAATTTTGAAAGAAACCATTATCTCTCGTTTAACTTTAAGCGAGGAAAAACGTTTAGACGAACTCCTATCAAATTCCGAGCTAGGTGATAGAAAACCATCAGAATTTTATAGAGAAATGCTAGGTATGGTTGGAGACTCTCAAATGGTCAGCCAAGATTTGTTGATAAAACTTTGGAAGCGACGCTTACCAAAAACAATTTTAGTTGCTATTACAGCTTCTGGTAAAGATACTCTCTATGATATTCTCGACTTAGCGGACAAGATTTGGGAGACCTATAAGCCGGTGAATATTAGTTCAATACATGATTTTCCACCGTTTACATTCAACAATTCAGGGTCTCAGGTTAAACCAGATAGTTCATTAGATTCCATTACTGAATTGACCAAAGCATTTAGTGAGTTTTCTATCAATTGTAGTAGACTTTTACAAACTATTTCCGATAAACAAAATTTTCTAGAATCACAGATTAATTCTCTCCAATCCCCAGGTCCTTCTCATTGTTTTAGTACTATTAATGAAAGTACATGTGATTTCTGTAGACACGGGAATCGCTCTAGGAGCAAATCTCCAAACCGATCTCAACAGTCAGTAAATAACTTGAAAATTTGTTATTATCACAAAAAATTTCAAAAGAATGCTATCAGATGCGGAGGACCTTGGTGCATTTTATCCAAAGCTTCGGCGGTAGCGAGTGGATCTACAAAAAAATGTAAACCGTCGCTTATTTATTTTTGACGCAAATAATAAATTTAATTTTTTAATCGATACAGGGGCTGACATTTCAGTCATTCCTCGTGATGTTTTTAAAAATGTTAAAAAATCAGATGATCTATTTCTTACAGCAGTGAATGGTTCCACCATTAATACATTTGGAAAACAATTCCTTAAGGTTAATTTAGGCCTCAGACGAGTTTTTCCTTTCGTTTTTACGGTGGCCGATATTTCGCACCCTATCATTGGTGCAGATTTTCTTTCTTATTTTGGGTTATTAGTTGACTTAAAAAATAAATGTTTAATTGACAATGAAACGAAACTTTCGGTAAGCGGGTTTATCTCTGAAAATAATATCCCTTTATCCCCAAAAATTTTAACCATAGAAAATGAATTCGCTAAACTTATTCAGGATTTCCCTAATTTAACTTCTCCTCCGAACTATTCCTTACCTATCACACATACTGTAAAACATCAAATTATAACAAATGGTCACTTACCATCGTCGCACGCTCGACGTCTTAATACTTCAAAATATAATATTGCAAAAGCAGAATTTGAACAAATGGTAGCTTTAGGCATTTGTAGGCCATCCTCATCTTCTGTTGCATCACCATTACATATGGTTCCCAAAAAAGATCCAGGCGACTGGCGTCCTTGCGGAGATTACAGACAACTAAATAATGTCACTATACCGGATAGGTATCCACTTCCTCACTTACAGGATTTCAACATAAATGTACACGGTTGTACCATATTTTCAAAGATTGATTTGGTTAGGGCTTATCACCAAATCCCTATGGCAGAGGAAGATATTCATAAAACCGCTATTATAACACCTTTTGGATTATTCGAGTTCCTTCGTATGCCGTTTGGGTTAAGAAATGCGGCCCAAACTTTCCAAAGATTTATTAATCAAGTTTTACAAAACCTAAATTTTTGCTATGTCTACATAGACGATATTTTAATAGCCAGTAAAAACAATGAAGAACATCTTCAACACTTAACAATATTATTCGAAAGGCTAAATTCTTTTGGAATTAACCTCAACCTTAGTAAGAGCGTTTTTGGAGTTCCTCAATTAAACTTTCTAGGTTATTTAGTATCTGCGGAAGGTATTCTGCCATCAGAGGAGCGTGTAGAAATTATTAAAAAGTTTCCCCGCCCCCAGACTCTCAAACATCTCCAGCGTTTCGTTGGAATGATAAATTTTTATCATCGTTTTATTCCAAATTTCGCTAATGTTTTGATACCGCTCTACGATCTGATGACTTCTTTACAAAATCAGAGGGATAAGACGATTTCACAGTGGTCACAAAGACATGAAGATAGTTTTATCGCCGCTAAAAACGGTTTAGCCCAAGCATCGCTATTAGTACACCCTCGCCCAAACTGCAAATTG